GATTCTAATCATTGTAATGAAACAGGGTATATGATTGTTGAATGTAAAACTGATGATCTGCCCTGTAAACTGTCACTCAATTCACAATAAAAACTTTAAAAAAAAAAGGTTCAAAAGACAGCCCAGAACTAGCCCTGGAACGCTGAACTTCATGTAAAAGGATAATTGGGAGATTCAAGGGCTTCCTGCAAGTGGGTTTGGAGCAGAGGAGATATTTTCTAATTTGCAGTGGTCAGTGAGTCCTTGCATAGCCATTTTGAATGGAAAGGAGCAGAAACAAGGTCCCATTACAGAGATCTGACCAATCACCAGAGATAACGGTGTGAACATTTCTTTTTCATTCTTTTACTTTCCTCTGTCTGCCCACTCCACTCTGGGGACTAGAGGGAATACCTGAACCTGTGGACACCCCCAGGGAAGGTTTTACTACACTTCAAGTCTGGAATGGAGCTCACCCTCATGGCCCAGTTTTTACCCAAGTAGTGGATAGGTTTATAGTGGGGAACAACAGAATGGTCCATCATTCAAAGTCAAAAGGCAACATTTTCCTAGGGACAAAGTTGAGCAGGGATAGGAAAGTGAGTGGAATGCCAATGGGAACCACAGGATGATTGTTGTTGCATGGTGGGAAATGTAATCAATGAGATGAAATAAATGTATGGTTTGTTGAATGTAAAGCTGATGATCTTACCTATAAACCTTCATTCAATTCACGACAAAAGTTTGTAAAAATTATAATAATAAAAATGGATATTCACATAATGAGACAGAAGGAACCTCAAACCAGATTTATCATGACAAATGTCAGGGAAGCATGATAACAAAATGGATTCCCAACAAGGCTGTTGCTAGAGAAATGAAACAGTCAATTTTTGCTGAAGAATTACCCTTTATGATTTTAGAGTAATGAAAAGAAAGCCAAAGCGAAGTTTATCCATAAAACTTGGGTGACATAAAAATTCCAAGGCACCATTTGAGTCCTTACTGAAACTGGAAATATATTATTACCACCTACAACTGCAACTGTACACCCTTCACCAACACCTAACATTTACAAACACCCTTTTACTTGAGAGCATTTGCAGCCTCCCAAATACAAACACATGGCAACATATCTTTATCCCGTTTGTTATAATTTACTTGTTAATGTCCAATCAAGAAGAAAGCATCAACACTTATTTATTTTAATAATGATTGTTTAATTTAACTAATTAGTAAAATAGTTTTTGAAAGATTGAAAGGCTTACAAGAAAAAGTGGGAACACAGTGATAGTAAATACAGGAAGTAGTGACCATGCCAAAGGATAAGGAAGGAGTACAGTGAAATGGTTGGACTTACTGGGATTGGTGATCATTATAGACAGCTACCATAAGAATATCAGAAAAGAGCCAGATGTAAACTCAGGGCAGTGATGGCGCTGTGAGTTACTGCGCCAGACTGCAAACCATTTGAACTGCAAGGTCGGTGGTTCAAGCTCACTAGCCAATCCTTGGAAACCCTATACAGGGTTGCTATGGGTAGGAACTGACTCAATGGCATTAACAACAACAACAACATCACAAAAGCTAGTATAAAAGGTAATTTTGGAGCAGAAAGACAAGAGCTGAATATTGAACACTTAAACCAATTCTATGGTGTGGAGGAAGAAGATATATGAAGAAATTTATCTTCACATAAAGATAGATTTGAAAGAACTTTGAAAAAAAATCATATTGTCTGTTTCTAGGATAACTTCTCTCATATTTTCTCCCATATGCGTTCTGATAACTTTAAGATTTTCAGCATAAAAGACACAAAACATATTAGTCATTTTTAAACAATATTTTCACTAAAACAAATAGTCTTATTTATGCTGCCCACTAGTACCTGCTGGGGTGTTTTGAAAAATCTTGTGCCTCACCACCCACCTCAGTCTAGTGGTGTAGCTCAGGCATGAGTATTTTAAGAGATCACCAGATATTTGCAATAGAAAGCCATAACTAAGGAATAGTAACACTAATTCTCACACCTAAACAGGCTAAACTGATCAGATAAGCTAGATATAAGTGTATGAAATATAGGAGTGAGCTACGGAAAGAGTAGCAGATTCTTTCTTAGAGTGTTGTGCATTTCATCCAGATAGCTTTGTCTTAGGTGACAAAATCAAAATCAAACTTATAAGATTTTGGGCAAATGTTTTCTTGTAGGAATTCTAGAACATCCCTCAATTCATAAAAGGTTGTAGCAAATAAGCTTTATTCTGATATGAAACACCAAGGGTAATGAAAGTCATGAAAGCTACAAAAAACCATGTGAACCACAACTAGGTTTTCCTGCTTATTCTAATCCAAGGAACAAATAGGATGGCACAGATATTAAATATAAGCTGTTCTTCTGAAGAGCTTCTGCAGAGCTCTTTTGATATCCCTGTTCCGCAGACTGTAGATGAATGGGTTCAGCATGGGTGTGGCCATAGTATATATCACTGAGGCCACTGCACTACTCCTTGGAGAATGTGAGACACCTGAACTAAGGAAAACTCCAAGGCCTGTTCCATAAAATAAGCAAATGACTGACAAATGAGAGCCACAGGTGGAAAAGGCTTTATACCTACCACCTGATGATGGAACTCTCAAAATGGAGGAAACAATTCGTGTGTAAGAGTAAAGGATCCATGAGACTGGAAAACCACCAAAGATAGCACCAATACAATTCAGTAATATGGTGTTGATGGAGGTGTCAGAACAGGCAAGCTTGATAAGTTGTGGTGGGTCACAGAAAAAACTAGGGATTTCCACATAAGTACAGAAGGTGAGTTGGGAAGCTATCAGGCAGTGAAACTGGGCATACAAAAGACTGACAAAAAAAGATGCCAAAACCAGCAGACCACAGAGGCGGGGGTTCATAATGACTGAGTAGTGCAGGGGATGACAAATGGCCACAAACCTGTCATAGGCCATTGCAGTGAGAAGCATATTATCCATACACCCAAAAAAATTAAACAAAGATAACTGAGCTAGGCATTCAACATAGGAAATGATTTTCAGATGGGTGTGGATGTCATTTAGTATCTTTGGGACTGTAGTGGAGGTGAAGCCAATATCAGCCAAGGACAGGTTGGAGAGGAAGAAGTACATAGGGGTGTGGAGGTGGTTGTCAGAACTTACTGCCAAAATAATTAGCAGGTTCCCAAGCACTGTGACCAAGTATATGGACAAGAACATTCCAAAGAGGGGTAGTTGTAGTTCTGGATCATCTGAAAGGCCCAGGAGAAGAAATTCAGTGAAATGCGTTGCATTCTGTGATTCCATGTAGTAGATATACCTTTGGGGGGGAATAAAAAACAGATTTAATCAAAGGAAACAAGTAAATGGCAACCAGCAAGGCAACTATACTTTGAATTCTGAAAATTCACAAGTAATGTGTTCAAATGTATGTACCACCTTTAGTTACAATTATCTGTCTTGGCAAAATAATGATTTCTAAAACTCATTTTTAGTGTAGCAAAGACATTTATAGTTTTATTGTTAAGTGTCATTGTGTCAACTCTACCTCATAGTGACCCTGTTTAGGTAACTCGACCTTGCATTTAAAACTGACTTCGTGGTGCAATGTGTATCATACAGCACAGCACCAGCAAAGACATTTAGAGATAACAAATTAATAAAGATAGTATAACAATTAACTCATGAAGAAATAGAAGACTTCAACAGATCATCACAAGTGAGGAGATAAAAGCAGTAATCAAACACTCCCAACAATTAAATTTCAGAGCTGATGGTCACTGAAAACTACAATATTTTTATAGAAGTGACTGCAATACTTCTTAAATTTTTTCAAATAAATGAAAAAATGGGGAAATACTTTTTTATTCATTCTTTGAGAATAGCAGTACTCTGAAAACAAAGAAAGTCAAGGATACCCACAAGAAAAACACAGACTAATATCACTTGTGAATGCAGACACAGAAATTCTTAATAAATATTAGCAAATGTAATATAAAAACATATTAAAAGGGTTATGCACCATGATTAAGTTGGGCTTATCCTAGACATGCATAGGTGGCTCTACATTCAAAAGTAAATCAATGCAATGTACCTCATCAATGTTCTTGATAAGTGCAGTCAAGTTGGTTCCAACTCATAGTGACCTTTTATAAAGTTTCTGATGAGTGGTTTGCAGGTTTCAACTACTGATCTTGCAGTTAGCAGCCCAGTGCTTATCCTACAGTGCCACACCAGGACTCCATCTCATCAACAGAAAAATGATCATCTCAATCAGTGCAGATAATATTTTTTACAAAATCTAACACCATTTCATTATCAAGGAGATAGGAATGGAATGAAAATCCCTTAACTTAATAGAGGGTATTTATGTAAAACCCACAGCTAACATCATACTGAAAGGAGAAAATTGAGAAGATTCCCCTTAAAATCAGGAATAAGACAAAAGGTACTTGCTTTCACTACTGCTATTCAATATTGTACCAAAATTCCTAGATGAACCAATTAGGCAAGAAAACGATTAAAGGCATCCAAATTGGTAAGAAAGTAGAAAAACTACTTTTTTTTTTGTCATTTTGAAAAACTATGCATTTATTTCCAAATATATATTTTACAATAACAATAAATTTGAGAAATATTCTATAGAAGAAAATATCTTTATAATGGAAATAAGAAAATCTCACATTTATTTAGATGTAGCTATGTTGTGGCATTGTGGGCTAATGCGTCAGACTACAAACTTGTTTGAACTACAAGATCGTTGGTTCAAGCTCACCAGCTTCTCCTTGGAAACCCTATACAGGGTCACTATGAGTCAGAATTGACTCAACAGCACTTAACAACAACAACAACAAGCTATGTTCTATGGGAGATGCAAATATGTTCCAAGGGGAGATTCAGTCATTCAAAGTGCAAAGAAAAAAATGATGACTATGGCTGACCTTGCCATGCAAAGTATTGACAATCTTCCTCTACTTTTTGTGGTTAGTTGTAATGCCAAATAGATGACACGATGATCTTTAGAAGTAGGGCTTAACTAGACAAGGTAAGGATGGAATAAAGTCAAACATCAGAATGAATTCAACTTTAGAATAAACTGACTTTGACTTTAACCAAACCTAGAGTCCATTCTGAAGCCCATTAGAGATAAACATTTTAGTATTATATTTAAAATGTTGTGCTTCTTACTACTATGAAGAGCTAATAAATCCAAATTAAAGCTAAGCATGCTTCCATCCGCATCCTATCATGTACTTATGAAGACTATTATAGATCAATTCAAAATTGGAGAAGTGGAAATTCTGAGTCCTTAGGGGAGCCCTCTTAATTCTCTGGGTGGAGCAATTTACACAAGTAAAAGAATTAAAAGCATCCAAATTGGTAAGAAAGAATGAAAACTATCTCTTTTTGCAAATAACATGATCCTAAATATAGAAAGGCCAGAAAGAAGACACAAAAAAGTTGTTAGAAGTAACAAATGAATTCAGCATAGTGTCAGGGTACAAGATCATAACACAGAATGTAGCGTTTTTATACATAAGGAACAATCTGAAATGAAAATTAAGAAAACAAATCCATTTGTATTGCCATAGAAAATAACAAAATACCCAGTAATAAATTTGACAGGAAAGAAAAATACTTGTACACTGAAAATCATAAAATTATTAATTGAGGTTAAAGATGCTCTAAATAACTAGAAAAACATTCTGTGCTCATGGACTGAAAGATTTACATTATCAGGATATCAGTACTACCTAAAATAACCTAGATATTTAATGAAATACCTATTAAAACAACAACAATTTTCTTTGTTAACAGTGGAACATTCAATCTTCAAATTTATATGTAAAAAAAGGGTCCCAAACAGCCAAAGCAATCTTGAAAAAACAAAGTAGAAGAACTCACATTTCCTGATTCCCCAAACATAATATTGTGTGCTTGTTAAGTGTGATCAAGTCTCTTTCAATTCATAGTGACTCTGTATAGCGTTTTCAAGTAGATAATGGGTATGAACAGCCAACTTTGTAGTTAGCAGTTCAATGCTTACCTTACAGCATCACACCATGACATTATATCAAACTAGAGTCATTCAAACAATCTGTACTAGTATAATTACAGGTATATAAACCAACAGAATACAATGAGAGTACAGAGTAAATCAGTGTAATAGCATGCACATCTATGGAAAATTTATCTTTTATAAGAGCATGAAAGCCATTAGAAGAAGAAATAATTGTCTCTTTATAATAATGGCGCTAGGACAACTTGATTTCCACATGCAAAACAATAAACCTAGACCCATACCTTATACTATACATGAAAATTAACTAAAAAATGTGAGACCTACTCATAAAACCAAACAACTCATAGAAGAGAACATAGGGACAATACAGCAGGACCTAGATTTGACTGGATTCTTAGATATAATACTGAAAGCAAAAGTGCCATTGTGTTTTTAGGTGCCCTTGAGTTGAGTCAGTTCTGACTAATAGCAGCACTTGGCACAATAGGACAAAACACTACCCATTCCTGTGCCATCCTCACACATTTTACATTTGGACCCATTGTTGCTGCTATGGGCTTCTATCTCACTGTGGGCTTCCTCTTTTACACTGACCCTACACTTTACCAAGTATGATGTCTTATTCCTGGGATTGGTCCCTTCTGATAATATGTACAAAGTGTGAAAGACTTCATTCTTCTTGGATCAACTATCAATA